CAATCCCTGGGGGGGGGGGGTGCCAGGCCTCCAGAATCCAGTCCCAGCATGTGGGGCAGGCAGGGGCTAGTACCAGGCCCCAGGGCCGATCTGGCCTGTAGTCGGGCCCCGTGTCACTCTCTTGTGGCCTGCATGGGCAAAAGGTTGAACACAAGCTTGGTGCAGGGGGCTGGACCCAATGAACTTCCAAGGTCCCTAATGGCCTTACAATCTATAGAAGTGTGTTAGTCCAGTGGTGCTTAACCTTTTTATTTGGTGGGCTGGATAGGCAGTGCCCGGTCCCCCTGCAGGCTGGATCTGACTGGTGGACCCATTCTGGCACCTGGGGAGGCATGGTGGGCCCCATCTTGCTGTGCAGAGAAGACTGGGGGATAGCCCAGCCATGATCCAGCTGTAAGGGGGAAAGGGGCTTGGCTTGTCCCCAGCTGGGCCCTGCAAGGAGAAGAGGGGGACTGACCCAGCTCCAGTCCAGTCCCAGGGGTGGAGGGGTATGGCTCAGCCCTCAGGGAAGAAGAGGGTGTAGTCCAGCCCTGAACCAGCCATACTGGGGAAAGGGACATGACGTAGCCTTTTGGGAAGAAAAGGGCATGGCTTGGCCCCAACCTGGCCATCCAGGAGGTGCAGTCCAACCCTTAGGGGGGTGGGGAGGGTGGTCTGACCCTGCAGGGGAAAAGGGGAATGGCCTAGCCCCCCCAGGCTAAGTGGAGGGAAGGGGGCATGGTCCAGACCCATGGGAGAAGGAGAAGGAGTATGGGGTGGCTGCAAACCAGCTGTGCGGGGGGTAGGGGGTATGGCTTGGCCCCAGTGTGGCTCGGTAGTGGGGAGGATCATGATTCAGCTCCAACCCACCGTGTGGACCTTGGGAATTTGGCAGTGGAGAGGGGTGGTAGTATTAATTGCCGCTGCTCCCCTGCCACCATATTTCCTGACCCATGGGGAGCCCTGCAGGCTGTATTTTGCCTGCAGGTCAGAGGTTGAGCACCCCTGGTCTATGCTATGAAATATCCAGTTATCAGTTTGTAATACTTTAGAAGTTGGCATATTGGACATTTGTCGCATCATTTGAATAGAGCCAAGGATCTCTGACATTACATGTTGCCAATTATAAAACCAGAGAACTCTTCTTGGTATTTCTGAGACGTCACTTTCTTTTTTTTCCTGTGTAGAATGTAATGCCAGAGGATGAGCATGGCGATTCTAGAGCAGAAACCCCTAGCACTGTGACAGAGGTAGATATGGACTTGGATAGCTATCAAATAGCTCTGGAAGAGGTCCTTACGTGGTTGCTTTCAGCTGAGGACACATTTCATGAGCTGGAGGATATAACTGATGATGTTGAGGAGGTCAAGGAACAGTTTGGTACTCATGAAGTAAGTTTCTTTGCTGGCAGTTCTTCTGTTTGATTTGTCATTCTTGCTAAAAATATGTACTGCTTGTCATGGCCCCAGCATTAGGGCAGAGTAGCTTTGGGGCCAGGAACCTTGGAAAGTCTAAATCCCTGGGCCAGCTGGCTCCTTGGCTGCTTAGTTTGTGGAGCCTAGGGATACAGTTGGTTTGGGAATCTGGCCATTTTGGGGCTTCTGAGTTCTAGGCTCTGGGCTCTCCTCAGGGAACATTTAGGTCCTCACCTTGGAGGCTCTCAGGGCTTCCAGATGTCTTCTGTGGAGCCAGGAACCTAGAAATCCTGGGAGTGCACTCCCAGGTTCATGAGTCTGGGGCAGCACCTGTATTTGTAAACTTATGAGGAAAACATGTTTTGAATCTGAACAACATCCTATTGCAAAGTGTCCATATGTCCTGCCATTCTGAAAGTCCAAATTGTGACCAAGACTACTACTGATAATGGTTGTATAGCATTATTAAGACTTATGACCTTGAGTTGTGCATGGTTGTGTACTAAACTGTGCCCTTTATTCTTTTTTAAAACAATGGAGTGACTGATTGTTAGAATGTTCACTTCAGCATGCAGCATGTGCTCATTCTTTATCAGGGTGCATGATGGGGATTTTATAAACTTTGCAATGGGTTATGGGGTAGATCCAAAGAACAATGGTAATTTTATGTCGATTGGGGAGTAGGCCCTATGTAGACTTTCAACTTTTTTATTAACTAAAATAAAAATTATATTTTCAGTGTTAAAATATATATTTGCTTCTCTGGAGTGGACTTTGGATTTTGTTTAAATGTCTTTTTTCCTACTGATATATTTCTAATAAAAGTTCTCAGTGTGTACATTTAAAGGTTGCCTTCTGAACAGCAGCCATTTTTCTGAGGCCAGGTCTGTTTTAATTCCTCAGTTATCTCCTTGTTTTACTGAAACATTCTTGGGAAGTTTTCTCATGTAGAAAGAAATAGACCTGCTGGTGTTTGTGCATCTGATGATGGCAGCTTATTTTGCACCGTAGTGGTTTAAACATTTTCAGTTTATTAAGATTAGAAATTCATAAATTCCAGATGATAGCTCATCAGTCATGATGATGAGGCTGGTTGTACCTTTTACAGGCTTTTATGATGGAGCTGACTGCACACCAGAGCAGTGTGGGTAGTGTTCTGCAGGCTGGGAACCAATTAATAGCCCAGGGCAACCTATCTGAAGAAGAGGAGAATGAAATCCAGGAACAGATGGCTCTGCTTAACTCTCGGTGGGAGGCTCTCAGAGTGGAGAGCATGGACAGGCAGTCCCGGTGAGCCACACCCTTCAAATACTACTTGAAAATTAGTTCATGGGACTACTTAGGGTGTTTATACATGTGCTCCAGGGGAAGTGGGGGAGGGAGGCGCTTTAATTAGAGTGGCTCCGAGAGCTGCTGTAATTTAAGTGCTCAGATCATCGCATGTATTGGTGTCCACGCAGCGAAAAATGACAGTGGGGGTGCTCTAACTAAAGCTTATTGAATGAGCTTTAGTTAAAGCACCCTCGTCACCACCACGGGGACTTTGATACATGTGACACTGGAGTCTGCTGGAGCATAGTAATTACCATGCATCATGTCAGTTAATCATGTCTGCTCCAACATGCTGTAATTACAGCGTGTTGGAGCAGCCTCGATGCATGTATATAGGTGCCCATAGTTATCAGATGGGCAGTTGTTTTGTCCTGCTTTATTTTCTGAATAAACTTTTTTTGTGATATTAAATCTGCCCAGTTTGTGCTATCTAGAAAATGCCCATTTTCATAAAACTTCTTGGTAAGATTAAAAAAGAAATCTCTATTTTATGAAACTGTAATGTGTTATTCACTGCTGGTATGTAGTACTTGCACAGATCTTAATTTCTTAAATCAATTTAAGTTTTAAATGTTAAACCTTTAATCAATGTGATAAGAAATGTGCTTGGCTTTATTCTGATGACTGTTTGCAGGATATTTTTCTTAGTGCGTTATTACACTTTGAACTGCATGGTAAGGGAGAAATAGGATTTCATAGCAACTCTTGGTGATATCCTTCTCAGGCGGGAATTAGTAATACAAAAAACAAACTTTAATAAATTGCTAGAGAATTTTGTATTTGCAGTGGAAGAGTCAACAAAGACACATATATATAGTTTAGTTTAGAATTAAATGCTGCAGTGTTTATTTAGAAATACTTAAGGGGCTTATGGCCAGGCATATTTCTTTTTATTCATAACTAGGTCTTTTATTCTTTGCTTGGAAAAGCCCTTTGGGAATCAGTCTGCTTTTGTTTTTTTTTCTTCTGTGTGCAGCCTGCATGATGTATTGATGGAACTGCAGAAGAAGCAATTGCAGCAGTTGTCTGACTGGTTGACTGTCACAGAAGAACGCATTCAAAAGATGGAGTCTGAGCCCTCAGCTGAAGATTTAGAGTTGCTTCAAAAGCAGATGGAAGAACATAAAGTAACTGCCTTGCTGTATTGTACATCACGAGGGGAAAAACATAAGGTCTAATAACAAAAATACTAAGCCGTGGCAGCAACTTCAGGGTCGTCTTTTCTGAGGCAGGGTTTAGACCTCAGTCCGCTGAGGAAGTATTTTTTTGATGGCCTTGATGTGAAAGTGGATAGTGATGAGGAGGGAAACCAGATCCATCAGAAAGCACTTTGTTAGCTGAGTCATAGCACCTCTACTGGTAGTGGTCTATCTTCCTTTCATGCAGTGAACATGTTGGCTGCCAGGTGGGGAGGGGGATGAAAACATACAGATAATTTGCCCATAATGCCTTCATTGAGGCAGTGCTCCAGTACATTGGATTCTTTGTCTCTTTTGACCACCTGTGCCTTCCAAGTCCAATTCCTTGCTATTGCATGTCATGTGTTGCCTTTTCATATTTATAGATAACAGTAAGGTCTGAAGAAATTGCATTTTTATTTCCGCAAGGTCTGCGTTACACTACGTAGTTTCAGTCTTCCTCCACATGTGTCGCTCCCCTGTAGTGGCTGAACTCCTTTGTTCTGTTGGGACAGTAAATCCTACCCTGTAGGTGAGAAAAGGCCACCAGAGTGGAGCTGACAGAAACTGTATGTAGATGTCTGTTTTCTGCCAACAGCTGCGGCCTCTTTAACAGTTGGTGCCTCTTAGAAGGGCAGGGACTGCACCTTGTCATAGCTGCTGTCAAGAGTTGCGTGGCTTTGGCAGTAGCTGTGAAGTCTGCACATGCACAGCAGCTTCTCTGTGGTGGCGGCGGCTGTGTGTCAGTAGCAGTTCTCTTGGCAGAAGGCTTGCAAGGTATAGACGGGCCTGAAGCCAGCTTTCTGGAGCTGAGCCTGGCCTGCTGACCTGTATGTGCTTATAGCAGCAAGAGGGCTTTTAGATGATCGTTGCTCTTCCAGCTTTGATCGCTTAGATCAGTGTTGAGAAGAACATTCATCTGGTGGTGGCACAGCTTGTGAACTTTTTTGCCATTATGGATGTATCTTAAAGGCCATGAAGGTTAAAACGGTACTAAAAGGGTAGGTTTTGTCCTGGATAATTGATCAGACTTTCCACGTCCTGCTCTTGCCTTGTGGTGGCTTCTTCCCTTCCTTTGCCAAGTGGCGGCATTTCATTTGACCTTCATGCATATGGTTATTGAAAATGATTTAGGATTCTGTGGGATTAAAGGTGCTGTTGAAAATGTAAAACAGCAGGCATTTATGTTGCAGAGGTACTTGAAGTGTTATTTTGTAACCTTTTATCTTATTCAGGGGTTGTCTGAATAATCCCCACTGTTTATGGAAGCAACTTGGTTTTACATTTTATGATTTAGAGATTTATTTATAGATTTTTGGGGGTCGGAAGGGATCTCAGTAGATCGAGTCCGACCCCTTGCCCTGAGCAGGAAAGAGCGCTGGGGTCAGATGACCCCAGCTAGGTGTTTGTCCAGTCTCATCTTAAAGACCCTCAAGGTAGGAGAGAGCACCATGATGATCTGATATGGATAGCAGTACAATGACAGATAATATTAGCGCTGAAACTAAC